GTACCAAAGCTGTTACATGAACCTTCTAGGAAAGTTATGAGTCATCAAAGTTGGAACAAGATAGTTCATGAAGCGGGAACCTCTGCGGAATCACAGTTGCCTGGTTCAGTGGTAGGAGTCCCATCTGCTAGCAGCACCTACTAACTAAGTTATAGGTTTGCCCACTCTCTGTGCACAGTTTAAGGCTCATAGTGCACATAGAATGATTCGAAATTACTACCTATTTCATCACCTTCAAAAACTGGATAAGTGAAAAGATCCAAGGAATTTCTAGAATTCTAGAACACGTAGCGAGCAGGCGCCTGTACCTGTGGACCTCCTCTTCGAAAATGATGGAATTTGGGGCCTCCACAGGAGTTGCATCTTCTTCGCATTTATTAGAGGGAATTAATTTCTTCATTATTTCCTTGTTGAGCTTACAATATAATCATAGTAGATAACCAAAAAAGAGTTCTCCTCATTTGTGCCCGTACAGGGATCTCACCTGCTCGAAAGGTGGAACGACCAAGGACTAAGGCTGTAGCCCATGACCGGTCGAAAACATTTGTGTTCTGAAGAAGTAGACACTGAAGCTGAAGTTCACTTCAATTCGACCGACTTTGGACAAGTATAACTCTTCAAAGAATACGTGACACACATATACCATACGTAGTGGTCATGCATAATAGTTTTCTTGCCGGCACTTCTACCGAGAGTTTACCCTCGTCCCACGATTCATCATCTTTCAGGCTTCTTACGGGCTCTATTGGGTTCTATCTATTCCTGGCTTGAGCTCCGCTCAAATTTTAGCATGGTTCATTTGGTTAGAAGTTTATTGTAAGTAAATACCACTGTAAATCTAACCCAACGGGTATCAGTATCGTAATGCAGTATTGGATGCTTTGCAAAGACTTCTGGAACTCACGAAAACTGTCCACCCAACCACCATTAGAAAATAGCCAATTCTTTAGCGCGGAGACGGTGAAAGGAGCCGCAATTTTCATACCATGTTCACGGTTCGAACCTCAGATCGAGTCTCGCACATGGTGATCAAGGCACATCTCTCCGATGTCGATCAAACAGCAGCAGACTCGTTTGTAAGAAGAAAAAACACTGACATCTATATTGGCTGATCTCGCAACCCTTTACATGTATTTGCCTATTTATTTATTTATTTATCCATTTATTATTTATTTAGTTATTTATTTATATTTACCAATCACTTTCAGGTGCCTTAGCGATTCTGAAAGAAAGTAAGATCCATGGCTCATCCCAAAAGGAATGAACAACATCGGATGTTTTGTTCTTTCACCCTTTTGTCCCCTTAAGTGCATTGATCTAATCAAGTTATCATTATCATACAGTAGCGATTGAAACACTTGACAGATAGCAACATTGCAAACTGTTGCGCAAGAAATCAGCGCCAGGGTCATTTATCGCAACCGAGTTCCGGTTCTCAGTTATTTGCAAAATTGCGAACAAGGAAGTTCGCTCATATGTCAGCAACTTCAGCATTATTATAATGAGTAATAATAAGCGCTGAATTGAGTTTCTTTGTTCTCTTAATGTGTATCGGGCATGCACTCCAACCGGTTGCATGTACTGCCCTACCTTTGTTGCCGATAATAAGAATATTAATAGATAGTAACTTCGGTTGCTTGTAAGTCAAGTATGCAACACGCAAACTGCATTGTGGTAATGGAGATTTGCCCCACGAACCACAAATAACCTAATCAGATCACGGTCTTGAAGGAGCAATATCTGGCACTGCTCACAATGCTCCGTGCTCTGCCTATTTATAATATAAGAAACCCTGAAAAGATCATCTTGAAGTGGTCAGGCAGAGAATTCTGCTATTAATCGCGGATGAAAAATTTGTTTATTTTCTGGGTAATTCGAACAATTCTTCGTCCAATGGCACTACGAAAGCGAGTGAGGTGATCTAGAGAAATTGATTATTGTAAATATATATGTAAAGGCAGGTATATTGCGCATTAAGGGTTGAACCAAGTTTGGCCTCCCACCATGATTAACCATGGCCGTCCACTGAATTTTTTCAGCAAGCAGGGGGAGGAGGGTGTATCTAGCGATTCTACAGAGCGAAATCGCATTTGAGAAAAATAAAGGCCGCATTTTTGGAGAGACACGAAAAAATCACATCTTGGTAAGTCGGAAAGTGAAGGGAATTTCGATAAATTCTGCCTTTCAATAGTAGTGTAGCACGTAAAAACCCCAGATTAGACGCACTTTTGGGTTTAAGTTTTGAAGTGTGCTAAACCTCAAATGCCGCCAGGTCCACCAACTATAGCCACAGGCAGCAGGGTGAATATTGCTTGAGGATTCCTCAACGGCACGTCGAGGATTTTCGCCTGATCCTTTACGTTCTCGCGCGCGGATATTCACTCTCGCCACCCGCGAGCCGTCTGTGCTCTCCGCGCGTACATTCACTATCGGCTCTACTCTCGCACAGCAGAGAGCGATGGTCGAGGAATTCCTCGACCGTTATTCACCCTGCCAAGCAGTCCCTCCGGAATGTTGTCGCGCCGGGGCCTCTCTAGAGGGGTCGGGATCGATCAATTTCTGAAACCTACCAATGGACAGCTGATCATGCAACCCACCGAGTATCGTCGTCTCTACGTTTACGGTGAGAATCCTTTAAAGGGAATTCACGATTAGAATGAAGGTCGAAGAAAGGGAAACTGACCTAGTTGAGGGACCCACGGACCTCCTGAGGGTGCGAACTGACGCGCAATTCGCATGGAAAAATTTGACCTCGGCGACCTATCATGCCTCAAAGCTGGCGGGTCCGGCGATCTCCGCCCACCGATCATCTGATCACTCGCCGTAGTTCAATACGTGGCGAGTGATTAGATAGCTGAGAGAGCGTAGTGTTGAAGAGGGCACAGCGATGAGAGTCGCATCAATGCTCGAATCAACGGGCAAGGAAGGGGTACCATTTCTCGGGTTCTGGGCCGTTTCTCATGGTTCTTCCTTCTTTCGTGTACCACTCACCATCCCTAGGTTAATTTGAAATGGGTTGCTTTTTCATCGTGAATTCGTCCTTTAAAGGCACATCAAAGAAAAAGAGGTGAAAAGTTCACACCCTTCACCTCGACTGAGAGCTGAGCGCAAAATTCACCTACTCATCTGCCGCCTTAAACCACTCAACTCCGCGAACAAGACGTTGTATTGAGGTCACACACAACATCCCCTACTTTGGGGATTTACGCTAATGATGGGAGCATTTCACATATGAACTTGATATGTATTAGGTTGTCTCATAAATAGTGTCGCTTTTTTTCAACCAAGAAAATTTTGATCTAAATCCCCATGCTTTTACAGAGAGTTATATACCATTCGAAAGAGAATTGTCTGCTCTACAAAATATCGTGTTCTTCTTCCATCTATGTTCCATGGTTTTCAAATTTTAGGCCTGCGAAATGGGAGGTCCCGCCGACAAAAATTGACCAAACCGACAACTAGCTCTAACTTTATGTTCCCTTCGGAGAAATCAATCAATGATGTACCCTCTACTTATGCATGACCTCTTCTAACATTACACTATTAGGTTTCCCAACAAGTCGCGTCATTCCATTTCCAGACCTGGTTTTTCAACCAGAACTCGACGGTCGAGCACCATTACCTGAGATCGAGGTCGAAATTTTTTTACAGCCGAGACATTGAAAAACTAGTAGAATTTAAAGAACAAGTCATGACTAAGTTAGGAATGTACGCCTGGTTGATTTTCTCATCTTCTCAGGGATAATTTCTTTCAAAGAAATGCGGTCACTTTTGTGGACAAAGCACCTTACTCCTAAACCCTAAAATTCGAGCTAATTCCTAACAAACATCAAAACAAAACAAATGAGCGAATAGAGCAGAAGAAGTGCTCACAAAAGATACACCAGTTGATATAAAACAATAGCGTTTCAGAGGAAGAATTTCAATTTGAAAATTGCCATGACTTATCGGTTGGCCAATTCGAAAAGAAACAGGGCAAACCTTTTTCGGCAACCTAAGGGTGGAATGTTCAGAAGAGGTCATGAGTAAGTAGAGGGTACATCATTGATTGATTTCTCCGAAGGGAACATAAAGTTAGAGCTAGTTGTCGGTTTGGTCAATTTTTGTCGGCGGGACCTCCCATTTCGCAGGCCTAAAATTTGAAAACCATGGAACATAGATGGAAGAAGAACACGATATCTTGTAGAGCAGACAATTCTCTTTCGAATGGTATATGACTCGATGTAAAAGCATGGGATTTAGATGAAAATTTTTTGGTTGAAAAAAAGCGACACTATTTATGAGACAACCTAATAAAGCTGCTGCAATGGCATGCAGCACCATTAACGCTTCAGTCAAAGAATTTGGAGCTCAAATTTGTAAAGCCAGTCACTTGCAATGGTTTATAAAACGATCTCACGTTTAACAACTTTTCATTTAATAAGCACAACAAGATCTTCTAACACAATATCACACAAGTAATCAATGGCTTATCTTGTTGACTGGTAGTGCGGTGTTGATTTCAAACATCAGAACTGACTTTGAATTAAGGGTAATACAAAGTCGGACGACTGTGCCTTGACTTCTCGATAAGTGCATCACACACATAAGTACATCAAATTCATCAAGATACTACTGCACATGAGAAATATCACCGAGTGTGAGAAGGCATGAGTTCTAGTCAGCGCTGACAATTCCCAGAACGTATAAATTTTAAGTTGCAAAATGATGTTGAAAAGCAAAATTGAATGAGAACGTATTCTTACTTAATGCACAAATATATGCTTTTACGTACCAAATGTTCTTTCAGTGGCGTTCTAACAATTCTACTGTTTCGTCCTTGGGATGATCGACTGCCCATTTCACATGCAGTTCTGCAGTCTTCCCGTCTTGCAATGCGATAGTCCATTCAAGAATACCATTCTTCATTCGACATCCCTCTTTAGGCAGCTCTGCTGCAGCAGTTAGGTCGCCTGAATCAAGAAGCGAGTTCACTACCGTACTGCTCCATGAACAAGACGAAAGAAAAGAACTGGTTCATACCTTCTCCATTGTTCGTTACTTCTTCCGTTTGGGATACAACCGGAGCAATAAGCCTCACCTAAAAACAGTGGTTGGGGATAAGGATCGGTGATTTAACACAAAGAAAATTATTTATTCCTTATTATTATAATATTATTAGTATTATGACCGACCTTGATCTTTTGCGTCCAGGTTGCTTCTGTGAATTTGTTCTTTGATTCGTTGAGCCGAACTTGTTCTTTGATCGTGAGCAACACAGGCTGCGCACGTGAATTCTTCACAACGATCACCTGCTCGTGAACGTTCGAAGAGCTCTTATTGATGAGACCAACCTAAAGCGAATCGTGTTGCTCGCTAATTGTAGGGAGGTTAAAGAAAGTAAGAACCTGTTCATGGTACTTTTTGACTGGTTTGTACTCAACACGTAAGGCAGTATCGACACCAAGAGAGCAAGAGAACCTCTCGCCTGGAGACACATTCTTCATGTTGGTCTGAAAACCCGTGGTATATTCTTGGAGTTCCTCTCAATCACGTCGCAGTTGTTTTGTGATGAGTAAACATAAGTCCAAGTAGCTGCTAACGTAAATGTGAAAATGTCATACCTTTGCAACGAAACTGTTATTAAGATAAGACAGCCGCATCTCCTGGCAAAAATGGGAGTGCTGAAGAATTCACTGCCGAAGCAGTCAAGAAAGTGCTTGTGTTTTTACATGGAACACACTCATGGATCATCTGGGGAGTGACGTCGACCACGCCGATTGTCACCTAAATCCCATAGTAGGGATAAAGACAAGAGCTTGATACCCGAAACTTCGTACCTTATGTTCAGCCCCGTCCGATGGAACAGCCGCTGGTTTGGTGATCATAAACTCGGTGCTCAATGCGTGCTGAGCAGGTTCCAAAACACGAGCCATCTACAGCGAGTACAATGGCCAATAATTACAAGAAGTGGGAACAACCTAAGAAGCGCACAACTTACCTCTGTATGCATTGGAGCTGCGTCTAGAACACTGCATTCTTGAACTGCAGCAAAACCCATAGGAGCAGCGCCCGCTTTGAACCTACAAAATATGAAGAAGTCCTCCACATAAAAATTAATCTTCCCTTGAGAACATACATTCTATTTCTTGCCATTAACGGCTGAGCGACAGGCGGAGGTGGGGGACGATAAAAGACAGCTTCCAAAACACCAAGTTCGGGAATTTGCCCACCAAGGCAAGGCTGAGCGGTGGAAAGTACCTAAAAGTGCCTTACAAGTATAATCATACTGCTGGAAGATAAAAAATGGAAAAGAAAGCTCACAAGTGATGCATCGGCCCAATCTTCTCCTGTCGACTGTGATATGTTTCCAAAATAGGTGATCTGTGAAGAATGTGCCTTTTTATCTCCACACGAACAACAAGTTATGACTCTGATAGAAGGGGCAAATTATTGCTTACCTTAAGAGATTGCTGTCCACTTGTATCGACTCGCAAATCGTAACTAGGTCGCCAATTGGCGCCATATACTTGGTAAGTCAATTCGAGCTGAACAGAGCCACCTTTCTCACTCTCCAAAGTGATCACAATCGACCTTCAAAGTACATGATGGTGAAAGGGAACAAACTTTTCGGATAACGTCACATATAAGCTCTCTAGAATTTAATACGAAATATTTCGATTGATAGGGGTCACTTTATGAAAATGATTACTCATGAATATCGAAAGAGATAAAGCAGCTATGTTCCCTTTGCGCACAAATCCTTTACGCAGGAACTGAAAAACTATAACAATATGTATACGGTGTCCAATTTGAAGATCAACATTTCATCCAAGACGCCTTTTTCATTCTCATCAACTCACCTTGCTCTGTCGTTCATTGTACTCAACAGCTCATTTTAAGACCCACGTATTGTGAGTTTCCTACTGATGCTCAACATCCTTTACAGATTACCCCTGTTTCACATTTTTTGAAGCATCGAAGTTCGATGGGACATTCTACGAGATTACCTGTAATATTTACTTACTTGCTAAATTGTCTCGATCTGTATTCCGACTCCGCTCTGTTCAATTCCCCTTCTAGAGCGCACAGCTCCCTTTCACTTTTTTCAAGTGTCTTGTTCACTTTGCGTAATTCTGAAAACGAGGAAATGAACAGAAGGAACATTTGGGCTGAACCATAAAGAGGCACATATTCTAATGCTCACAATCACTTCAGTTTGCTTCACGATAAGTCTGTTAGGCCGAGTTCATAGTCAACAACTGGAGATTTGGGGATCAGGTGATAATGAAAAAAGATATACACTGACTGAGTGGGAGATCAGAAGAATAGAAAAGTGAGAAATTAGAAGGGAGGAGGTTTTGCTGGAAACAATATATACCTATTGATCCGGCTACGACTCCAAAATTTGATCCCCTTATCAAAAACCTTCTGACCTCCTGATTTTGATCTGATGTCTTTATTGCTCAAAACCCTAATATCCGGATGAGAAAGAATGGGAGCGACATGAAGCCAAATGGTGAATAACTTAGTTTTGATTGCCATGAAAACTTAGATTTTATCGTAGTTTGAGAACACCAGACCGCGAAGTCCAATGGCTTGGCTGACACAATATTCCATACCATCAAGTTGATGTCTCATTACATGATATCATGTCACATACCACAATTTCCACCCAGTCAGTGTGGACGTCTGTCACAGGAGCTCAGCGTAATTACTAGGCAGGTGAAGAAGATCTTACTCTGCCACCCCAAGATATTGTGAAGATCCAGATTCAATAAAAATCGAAAAATCCAAGGATTTTCGGCGTGTTTGATCGCGAAAAAATGTGACATTAGAACCAGTTCAGAGTGATTTGGACTGTTTCTTTTCGCACCATAATTTTCTCTGTCAGGCAGGTGAGGTACAAGTCACTCTTTTCCTTCCGAAAGCATTCCGTAGAACGCCATCGAATAGGAATAATCGAATAGGCTCCCAGCATAGATTTTGAAGTGATTGGGAAAGCTATCCGTTCAAGACTGTACATCACTTGATTTTCTGAGCGAACTAATGACAACCACTCAACAATGGGCAATAACCTGACTACAACGTCCATGATTACATCTGCCTCGGTGAAGGACCTAGTACGCCCCTGTGTTAGGCTCAATGTTCTCATGGTTTTCCGTTTGTTTACGCTCAGCTGTTACGGAGAATTCCGAATTGGAAATTTGTGTTCAAGATTATCCCGCAACTGCCCTGACGGGTTCGAAAGAGATGTGATAATGCGTAGTATTCCAATATTTTAGCCAGCCCAATTTTACCGCCCGAAAATACGCAAAGTAGACAAAAATAAAACACGTAACTTACCTGAACGGATTGACGCAGAATTCTCTTCATAAAAAGAATAGAAATCTTTGAGACTGTCCAGTGTTTCCTTGTTTAGAAGGAAAGGTTCTCGCGACTCCTTTGGTGGGCAGACAACATTGTTACCAGCCTAAGTAAGCGTGTGCTGCTGAAATTGATAAGCACCAAACGAAGCAGACATATGTGGGAAAAAATGTCAATGACACCTCATTAAGGATGTGCAAGTAAGTGAGCCACTACAGTACTTGGCTTGAGGCTAAACCCTAGGTNGGGGAAGGGGTCGTGAAGAAGCACGAAAGCAATCTTGGGTATACTCCAGGAGCATGAGTTGTCTCGGCAAAACTATAGTTAACTCGAACATTCAGCTCTTTCAACCATAAGTCAAGTGATTGCCCTCACCCCCTACCCCTGTAGGCTGACTACACCCCCCTGGCTCGTTACCCTAGAAACTGCATCACGATGCCCCCCACCATCTGAAATAGACCCGCAATCTTTCCTCCCCCACCCTGGGCTGAGCCCCAGTGTCACCTACAGCGGTTCTAAGTACCTTGTTTTGAATGTCTCCCATACATTCTGACTTGTGCCAAACCGCTCACTCTTCAGTTTGACACGCTCGTACCCCCCCAGTTCCCTCCCCGCCCCTCCCCCCACTCCGTTAGGGATTCACCATCGATACAGTTTTCCAGACCTAGTCATATATTGGGCTGGTGCATAATAACGTAGCGTTTTTTTTTTTCTCGAGCTACAAATCAGTGAGATACAAGTACTACCAAGGAAAATCACATATATCATTTGAAAGTGCTTCTTCCGCTCTACACAAAACTTGTTTGTTATTTTCTTCTATATTGTAAATGTACTCAGATATGGTGCTTAGAAGTTGGAAACTCAGGGTGGGCGAAAATCTATATAAAGAAAAAAGCTGCCAAAATGGGAGTTTTTCGGGATCTATCGTCATCATCGAAACTTACTCCGATCGACCCTCAATCACAAATCATATTTACGTCGTACATATTGAGAATGATGAGGACTCTGAAAACGGGCTCAGTACCCTTTTTTAAATTCTGGACCCGGCAATCTTTCGCGAAATGGGATCAAAGTCGTATATAATGACGAGAAGAACATCACTGATTAGTTTTATGCTTGGCTTTGCTTTTGGGTTTTGCTTTGAACGTTTTTGCCGAATGCGAGCGCTACGATATTATGCACCAACCCAATACATATCGTATGGTACATAACGATATCTATTGAAAAAGAGAACATATAACATCAAAAAGGAAACTCACTCCTTCCACCAGTTTGTCCAGCACTTCGACTCTTTTCTGCACAATACTGGCACGATCCTTCAACTCATTTACTTCTTGCAACTTATCCTCGTACTTAGCGCGTATTGCAGCAACCTAAAATGCTGGCGATAGTGCATTGCAAATGGCTACAGAACAGAGGATCAAGAGTAATCATACCCTCGGTGAATCAGTCTCCTCATGAATGGCAGCTTTTTCACTGAGTTGAACATCGTGAATTGTACCGTGACCACGTCCATCTACACGAACTGAGTCATGAATGATGTTGCGAGTGACATTCTGGAGGGAGAATATGATTAAATAGGTATCCTGCCGCGATAAAAATAAAAGAAGAACAGATGAAGAACCGCAGTCTTAACGTTACGAAGCCTTATGCAGAGGCAGGGTCGTGAGTGTGGCAGAAAGGTTTGAGCCAGTTTGAAATTCACGGGAAGCCTTTCGCACAGCTGTTGGAGTTTTACCGTTAACATACCGCAAAGCAAAGCGCAAACGGCCAGAGAGCAGAAATTGAATCAGTATAAATTTCGAAAGAACAAACGATGAAGCGGGAAGCACTGGAGCTTCGAAAGACAGGGCGCTCGCTATGAGGTGGGTGTCTACTTATCATACATGAAAAGCAGGAATTTGTAGACTCGCAGTGGCCATGGGACGCCATGTCAGAGAAAGAGGGTGCTAACTTAGTTGGGGGGGGGGGCACGCGGCGGCGCGGCAGTCTGCTCACCTGGGCTCTCTCGAGCGAGACAGTGTAAACTCGAACATTCCAGCTTTTC